AGGAAGAGTGACCCCAGGGAGCAGGAGGGAGGAAGGGATGGAAGTGAAGCAGGGAAGGAGGCAGAGTTGAAGCCAAGGTGTGTGATCCACCTGGCTGCCTCTGGGTGCACATGAATGATTGCTCTGTCCGCCGGGGGTATCCTTTAAGACGGCATATAAAATGCAACTCAGGACAGCTGGACCAGGAGGCATAGGAGGAAGAATATCCACCAGCTCATGTTTCTTATTGGTCAGTGTCCACCCCAAAGGGCTGTACACACACACACACACACACACACACACACACACACACACACACACACACACACAAGCAGAGCCATAGGCATCCCACGCTTTGATGGCCTCAGAGAAGCCCCAGGACAAGAGGCTAGAGGCGTGCAGCATGGTCACAAGGCCAGGCACCATCAGATTCCACTCTGGTGAAGCTGGTCACAGTGCGTGCAGAGCTCGTTGCCACCTCAGTGGTTAGAGTAACAGTAGAGGCCAGGAGCCTCTCAGGTGTCTCCCCATCATCATTCACAGCACACACCATCATTGTCCCCATTTTAAAGGTGAGAAAACTGATGCTCACTGAGGTCACCCAACTAGTCAATAGCACAGCCAGGATTCAGCGCCCATGGTTCGGCTCTAAAGATTGCATGCTTTTTGGGGGGGGGGCGGGGCGTGCTGTGTCAGGTCTCAGCTGTGGCATGAGGAAGCATCCTTGTATTGCATAAGATCTTTTCTTTATGGCTCACAGTTGTGGTGTGCAAGCTCAGCAGTTGCGTCACACGGGCTCCAGAGTGTGTGGGCTTCAGTAGTTGTCGTGTGGGGGCTTAGTTGCTCTGAGGCACGTGAGATATTAGTTCCCTGACCAGGGATCCATCAAACCTGAGTCCTCTGCATTGCAAGGCGGATTCTTAACCACTGGACCACCGGGGAAGTCCCTAAAGATTGCATTCTTATCCATTATACTAAGCTGAATCTCAGAGGCAGTGGCCGGCCCCACACCTCCAGTTTTAGTGGGCCTATGGATTCCAAAGCCTTCTGGGGATGTGAAGGGAAACAGAGCCACCAAGATAGACTTAATTATTGGGGAAGAAGGGCTGTAATGTGATAAATGTAATTAACACTGCTGGATATGATATATGAACATTGTTAAAAGAGTAAATCCTGAGTTCCAGCATAAGAAAACATTTTTTTTCTTTAATTTTGTATTTATGTGAGATGATGGATGTTCACCAAACTTGTGGTAATCACTTCATGATGCTGGTAAATCAAATCATTATGCTGTACACACTAAATTTATATAGTGTTGTGTGTCAACTACATCTCAATAAAACCAGAAGAAAAAAAATGTTAAAGTGATTGGGGGGAATTTTCTAGGGATCCAGTGGTTAGGACTCCATGTTCTTACTGCTGAGGGCCTGGGTTCAAACCCTGCTCGGGGAACTAAAATCCTACAAGCTGCACTACATAGTCAAAAAAAATTTTTTTAATAAAAGAAAAAGAAGTCAAGAGTAAGGGGAAAAGATGAGCAAAGAAATATAATCATATATTGGAAAATAGCTTTGCAATTTATAATTAACCACTAGTTTATTTAACAGATATTTACCATTACATGTCCAGCCCTATGCTCAATGCTGGGGAGGCAGAGGTAAAACCAATGCACCCTCTCTGCTGAGGAGCTTGCATACTGGTGATAAGACAGACATGCATTAAGCATTGCACAGCAAGGAAATCAGTTCTGCTCCCTGCTGACCATGAGACCATTTTGAGCCTCAGTTTCCTCATCTTTAAAATGGGCCTGTAGCAAACTCTGCAGCATAGGTGCTTAGCGTGGTGGCTGACACAGAGTGTGGTAGTGCTTGTTACTGCCATCATCATGTGGGAGATACAGAGGGAACATCCCTTTATCATCAGGCGCCTTGTGTTCCAGATCAGCAGCTCCCATATCCTCCTTTTCCTGGCCTTGAGCACAGTGTTCCAGCTACCCCACCACCCTTGCAAACAATCCGATGCCTGGTATTGTCTCTTTTTTGTGATCTTGATCAGAAACTAGGTCAGCAGATCAACCCTGAAGCCCTGGAGGCCTCAACCCCCTTGGAGTCTCTCTCCAGGGCTGGCTTAGGCAGTGAGGGCTTGTGAGCTGGTGGGATGCTGTTCAGAGATGCCTTCAGAAGGGAAGCCAAGAGGCCAGTTTCCCTGGTAATGAGAATGCCCATGGGGGTGGGGAGTCAGTTGAAGAGCCCAGAGGACTGTGTGACTCTTACTATAGGCCTGGCGATGGGATACCCAGCTTGGGTCCAGGCTGGCCAAGCGTATGCCTCCTTAGCTGTGGTGGGAGGAGTGTTTTATACAGGGATCGGCCAGCTTAGTAACTCCCACCCTGCGGGAGCATTCTGAATGGGCTCTGCTGCCAGATTCAGAAATACTGAAGTTTCCCACCGTCCACTCAGATCCCTTTGCTTGAAACTTCCCAGGTAGGAGGTGAGAGGGAGGAGCAGGGGTGGGTAGCAGACTCTTTTGTAGCCCCTCCTTCTAGGGACTCTACCAGGAAAGCCTGGGACTGCAGACATGCTCAGTCTCTCAATCATGTCTGACTCTGCGACCTCATTGTCTGCAGCCCATGGACTGTAGCCCACCAGTCTCCTCTGTCCATGGGGTTTTTCAGGCAAGAATACTGGAGCAGTTTGCCATTTCCTCCTCCAGGTGATATTCCTGATCCAGGGATCGAACCTGCGTCTTTGCCGTCCTGCATTGGCAGGCAGATTCTTTACCACTGTGCCACCTGGGAATCCCGGGAGCGGAGGACCTGGGTTCAGGTCCTGAGCTCAGCCTCTAGCTGGCTTCATCTGTCACGTAACCTTGCTGAGCCTGTTTCTTTGGCAGGAGAGCAGGATGCAAAAAGCACCTGTCTTGGAATCAGGCAGATCTGGGTCTGAATGTAGACTTCACTCTAGAATTTATTCAACAAAGCTTGTTGATTTTCCCGGTGGGCCCTTCCTGTTCTAGGTTTGGGGATTCAGCTGTGATCAAAGCCACCCAGATCCCTGTTTTCAAGAGGCTTACAGTATGCAGGCCACGAACAATCAAACAGTGTAATGGAACAAAGTAGTGTGTGGTGTGATGTGCCAGTAGAAGTGAGTGCTATGAAGAAATATAACTCAGGGAAAGGCACAAGAGAAGGATTCTCCCGGGGGAGGTTACTTTAGGTAATGTGCTCAGAGAAGGAGCTCTGGCCCTGGTAAAGCTCCTGGCCCAAATCTGAGCCTCAGTTTCCTCATCTGTGACCTGGAATGAAGCATGCCCACCTCCCGAGGGTAAAATACCATCACAAAAACCTTTGCCATCCAGAGTAAATGATGCCAGAGAAAAAAAAATGGCATATTTTTAAGCCAAAGACTCACTACCAGTGACATGTGTCAGGGAAAGACAGCGTAGCAAATGAATTCATCCATTTTCTGATTTTATTTCCTTTCTTTTTCATTAAGATGTCTTGTGTATGTTGATGTATTAATATTCATTAAATAAATGAAAATCTGCCTGTGAAAAACACCAAATGAAACAGCCTCAACCATTTTAGGCGCTCTGTGGGTCCTCAGTAGCATCTGGATTCCTTCTTATGAGCAGTTAGAGGAGGCGCACGGTGGAAGTTGAGTTGCAGTGAGATAATGTGACAAGCGCACCAAGGGTTCCTGGCGTCATCTTTGAGGCAGAAGAGCAGCCACGTCACGAATGCCAGGCCAGGTCAGTGGGGAGTCAAAGGTTACCCTACATCTGGGCTGGGTATGGGGCTGCTCCTGCCAGCCCCACACTCAGCACCAGTCCTTCCCCTGTGAGAAGAGATGTCACACTCAAGATGGCCAAGCCCAGATTAAGGGTAGAGAAGAGGCGGATGCAGAAACCCCAGAGGCCCAACCTCCTCCTGCCCCAGTGTTGACACCACAGCACCAAGTCCCAACCCTAATTTGCAGAAGAGGCTCTGGCCACAGAGCCTCACAGAGTGTGCGTCGAGGGGCCATTTTAAGGTCTAAGTTGTCTGCTGGGAAATTATAGCACAGAGGTGGCCAGGCTCCCAAATGACAGGGCTGCCAGGCTAACTGGTAATTGGGATGGATAAAAATAATCTATAGCTGAAGGCAGGAGGTGAGGGGTGGGATCTCCCTCTTGGAGAACTGGAGCAAAAACAGACGTGGCTTCTCAGGACACTGGTGGAAGGGCCACGATCCCTTCTGCACGTAGCTTTGCAGCCATATAGGCTGCCAGGAAGCCACTCCTTTGCCCCGAGTCTGTGCCAGAGGGCCTGCCCCTAGGGTAGCCTCTGTTACCCAGCCCTACAGCAGCTGATGGTCACATCAGCGCCACCAGCTGACTGTCACTTATTCACACATAATCTTGGTAAGAAACAGAATTGAAAATTATAATGCTGGGTTATTTTGCTTTTGTCCAATCTTAGGTGTCTGATATTAAAAAAAAATACTTGAGATATTTTAAGTCCAGTATATACAATTTTTAGTGTCTTTTGTTTTATTTTATTTAGGAATGGCTAGGAAGGAAAGGGGCCTTCCAGGTGGCGCTAATGATAAATAACCCACCTGCCAATGCAGGAGACATGAGATGTGGGTTCGATCCCTGGGTTGGGAAGATCCCCTGGAGAAGGAAGTGGCAACCCACTCCAGTATTCTTGCCTGGGAGAATCCCATGGACAGAGGAGCCTGGCAGGCTACAGTCCATGGGGTCACAAAGAGTCGGACACAACTGAAGCAACTTAGCACGCACGCAGGAAGGAAAAGTTTATATGCATTACATTCTTTGAGAGGCAGGTGCAGTGGTGCTCCAGTAACTTGTGAGTTACTGGTGCCCAATTCTGCCTCCTCCTCAGCTCTATGTGAGTTTTGGGGCTCTGGGGTGCCCCTTTCTAGGGCTTCAGTGGAAGCCAGAGGAGATGGTTAGGCTGTTAATGAGGGCAGTTTGGACATCATTTCTGTGGGCAGTTGTATAAAGCTCTCCATCATCACCTGTTCCAGCCGCTGTGGATCTGTCGGGACTTGGGATTTCAGAACGCTGGGACGTTTCCCGGGCTTGAGTGCAGTAAATGCTGCCTTGTGCTGCCGCCTGGTGGTCATTTCTAGGAGCGCAAGCGTCGGTTTCCTTGACTCTTGGGTGCTATGCTAGAATTGGCCACCAGAGGGCAGAGGGCAGGCTTCTCCACACTAAGCATCTGGCTAAGGTTCCCCTGTGGAATCCCAGCTTCATAAAAGTCGATTAAAAAAACAAAGCGTTGAACTGTAATTCTTTTTTTTTTTAAATGAAGTGCAATCTACTTTATATGAGTTTTCAGGTGTATAATTCAGTGATTTCATATATTGCAATACAATCACCAGGATAAGACTCTTTGCCCTCTGTCACCACTCAAAGTCATTACAATGTTTTGAATGTATTTTCTGTGTTGTACATGATATTCTGTGACATAATTATAAGTGGAAGTTCATATTTTTTAGTCTCACTTAAGGTATTCCCCTCATTGCCCCTGTCAGACCACCACCAGTTTCTCTGAGCCTTTTTCCATTTTATGTTCACTTTTTAAAAAAATTCCACACATGAGTAAAATCAGAGTGTTTTTATCTTTCTCTGTCAGGTTACTTCACGAAGCATAATACCCTCTAGATGCATCCATGTAGTTGCAAGTAACAAGATTTCTTGCTTTCTACATTAAGTAATATTTGAATGTCTGTGTGTGTCTCTATGGACTTCCCAGGTGGTACTTTAGTAAAGATCTGCCTGCGAATGTCAAGGATGCAGGAGACAGAAGAGAGGCATGTTCAGTCCCTGGTTCAGGAAGATTCTCCGGAGGAGGAAATAGCAACGCACTCCAGTATTCTTGCCTGGAAAATTCCACAGTCAGAGGATCCTGGCGGGCTACACTCGTGGAGTCGAAAAGAACAGGACACGACAGCACACACATGTGTATGTATGTTGTTGTTGTTCAGTCAGTTGTGTCTGACTCTTTGAGACCCCATGGACTGCAGCACACCAGGCTTCCCTGTCCTTCATTATCTCCTGGAGTTTGCTCAAACTCATGTCTGTTGAGTCAGTGATGCCATCTGACCACCCTGTCCTCTGTTGTCCCATTCTCCTCCTGCCCTCAATCTTTCCCAGCATCAGAGTCTTTTCCAATGAGCCAGCTCTTTGCAGTCAGGTGGCCAAAGTATTGGAGCTTCAGCTTTAGCATCAGTCCTTCCAATGAATATACAAAATTGGTGTTCTTTAGGACTAACTGTTGATTTCTTCACTGTCCAGGGACTCTCAAGAATCTTCTCCAGCACCACAGTTCAAAAGTATCAGTTTTTCAGCGCTCAGCTTTCTTTATGGTCCAACTCTCACATTCATACATAACTACTGGAAAAACCATAGGTTTGACTATACAGACCTTTGTTAGTAAAGTGATGTCTCTGCTTTTTAATACACTGTCTGGATTTGTCTTGGCTTTTCTTCCCAGGAGAAAGTTTCTTCTAATTTCATGGCTGCAGTCACCATCCTCAGTGATTTAGGAGCCCACATCTCCATTTTCTGTACCTGTATGGATGACATATAGGTGGCTTCCATATCTTGGCTGTTGGAAATAATGCTGCCAAGAACATAGGAGTGCATTTGTCTTTTCAAATTAGTGGGGACTGTTTCTGTGTGTGTGTGTGTGTAGAAAGACACAGGATTGGGTCACACTGTAGTTCCCCTTGATTTCTAGCTTTCTACACTAAGTAATATTTGAATGTCTGTGTGTGTCTCTATGGACTTCCCAGGTGGTACTTTAGTAAAGATCTGCCTGCGAATGTCAAGGATGCAGGAGACAGAAGAGAGGCTCGGAATTTTCCTGGAAACAGTCGGGATGGTTTCATTTGCTCCGTGTAATCACATGCTTGTTACTCCTCGTGTCTGCTAGTCTTTCCTGTCCTGCCACGACCCCGGGCCGTCACCTCCACCTAGACTCTGCTTCCCCTTTGTTTTCCTCTCGCCCAGTTGTCAGAGCGGTCACTGTGAGCATGTCCCATTCAGTGCTCCGTGCCCCAGGGTCCCCACACACAAAGGCCAGCCCCTCCCTGACTTCTCAGGCAGCTGAAGCCTGCCCGTGCCCCGCGAGCCCTACACCTCCGTCTTGCCTCCCCCTCGCTCGGTGAGCCACGTACACTGGGCTCTGGCTTTTCTGGAGGCGACGTTCTAGGGAGAGCAGATCGTTCTCATTCAGAGCATTTGCTTCGTTCAGCATGTCGCCCTGTCACGTCTACATGGCTCCAGAACATTGTCCTCCTGCCGAAAGGAAAGCCTGCACCCTGACGCAGTCACTCCCCGTCCCCTCTCCCCCAGCCCCTGACAGGCGCTCGTCCACTTTTCCTCCCCGTGGATTTGCTATTCCTGGGCAGTTTATAGAAACGGAAACACGCCGGAGGGGACTTTGGGACCCAGGTTCCTTGCACTCCTCAGAGTGTTTAGGAGGTTCATGCACACCGTGGCCTGTACGAGAACTTCATTCTGCTCCGTGGCTGTTATTGCAACCTAACTGGCCTCCTTCCATTCCTGGAGGGCACCGAGCCTTTCTTGCCTCCAGGATTCCCCACTTCACGCTCTTCCCTCAGCCTGACATTCCCCTTCCCTGAGCAACACCTGAGAAACCCCGAAGCCTTCTCCAGTTTCCATCTTGCCTTTGAGGATGAACAAGATCCTCCCTCAGGTGTGCTCTTAGAGCACCTGTCCTCCTTCAGAGCCTCTGTCTGTTTGTTTTTTTCTTCTTTTGGCCACTCCAAAAGAAAGGGCCGATGGAATCTTAATTCCCTGACCAGAAATCACAGCCTCGCCCCCTGCAGTGGAAGTGGAGAGCCTGAACCGTTGGAGTGTCGGGACTTGCCCTAAGTGAGCTTTGATTTGGGTGCCTGTGAAGTTTCCTTCGGGCCTGCCCCCTCCAGTAGATGACACGACCCGTCTTGGCAGGACCCGGTCCCTCTTGCTCATGCCCCGCGTCCCCAGTGACTCCTGTACCGTCCCTGATGGGCGCTCTGGAGGTGCTCCAGCATCTTTTCTGGGTGGAATGATCAGTGAATGGTGTTTTAAATCCCTTATAGGGATGAACTGTTTTATCTGTGTCCAGTTCTCTGCACTTCAGATGTAGTGGCGATCAGAGTTGGCATCCAAGAACCTGTGGGTCTCTGGTGCCCAGTTCTGTATCCTCCTCAGCCCTGTGTGAGCTTTGGAATCTGGGGTGCCCCTCGCTAGGGCTGTAGTGGGAGCCAGAGGAGATGGGCCGCTAATGGGGGCACTTTGGGCATCATTACTGTGGGCAGTTGCATCAGGTCGCTCCTGCCCTGGCTCTTTCCCATCACCTGTTTCAGTGCCTTGGGCATCTGGCTGGATGTGGGGCTTCCAAAGATTGGGAACAGTTTCTCAGGGGTGAATGCAGCTAATGGTGCCTTTTGCTGCCCTCTTGTGGTCAGTTCTAGGATAGCAAGTGCCAGTTTCTTTGCCTCTCGGATGCTATTCTACAATCGGCCACAAGAGAGAAGTATTCCTCGCATTAGTCCTCGGGCCGGCATTCTTTGTGGAACCCCAGCTTTGTGAAAGTCTATTTTGAAGACAACAACAACAACATTGAACTATAATTATTTATTTTTTTAACTGAAGTACAAGAGACTTGCTGCAAGAGTTTCAAGTGTATATTACAGTGATTTGATACACTGCATACTGATCACCAGGAGAACCTTGTTGCTTTCTCTCACCATGCAAAGTTGTTGCAAGATTTTGAATATGTTCCCTATTCTGTACATTATATCCCATGACATAATTGTTTTGTAATTGGAAACATATATTTTTCAGTCTCTATCTGTAATTCTCTGCATCTCCCCAGCCACTGCCCCTGAGGAAACCAAATTTTTTCTCTCTATCTCTGAACCTGTTTCCATTTCCTTATGTTCGGTTTTTTTTTTTTTTTTTTGATTCCACATATGAGAGAAATCAGAGGTTATTTTATCTTTCTCTGTCAGACTTACTTCATTTAGCATAATACCTCCTAAGTGTATCCAGGTGGTTGCAAATGGCAAGATATCTTGCTTTTTACAGCTGAGTAATATTAAATGTTGAGTGCCGAAAAATTGATGCTTTTGAACTGTGGTGTTGGAGAAGACTCTTGAGAGTCCCTTGGACTGCAAGGAGATCCAACCAGTCCATCCTAAAGGAGATCAGTCCTGGGTGTTCTTTGGAAGGACTGATGCTGAAGCTGAAACTCCAATACTTTGGCCACCTCATGCAAAGAGTTGACTCATTGGAAAAGACCCTGATGATGGGAGGGATTGGGGGCAGGAGGAGAAGGGGACAACAGGGGATGAGATGGCTGGATGGCATCACCAACTCGATGGGCATGAGTTTGAGTAAACTCTGGGAGTTGGTGATGGACAGGGAGGCCTGGCGTGCTGCGATTCATGGTGTCGCGAAGAGTTGGACATGACTGAGCGACTGAACTGAACTGAATATTAAATTTGTGATAATGATACATGTGTATGTTTATTTATAAGTATGTGTATATATATGTACATTTATTAGTATGTGTACATATTTAGAAATATGTGCATCACATCTCCAATTCTCTATACCTGTATGGATGAACACATAGATGACTTCTGTGTTCAAATGCTGAATTGAACATAGGAGTGCATTTATCTTTTCAAGTCACTGTCTTTCTTCTCCTGGGGATAAATACATAGGATTGAAATTGCTGGGTCACACAGTAGCTCTAGTTTTAACTTTTCCACAACACAGCTTCCCGGACACTGTTCCCCACAGTGGCTGCACTGGTTTGCGCTCCCACAGTCCCTGACGCGAAGCACCGCTGGCTATTCCTCGTGCTCCTTGTCTTGCCGGTCCTGCCACGACCGTGGCTTACTAGGTCTGACTCATCCTCTCCTCTCCTCCTGTCTCCCTTTGCCCACTGCTCCGCGTGGCCAGCCTCTCCCCACGCAGTGTCCCGTGCCTCGGTCCCTAAGCACAGAGGCCAGACCCCTGCCCGCCTTCCCGCCGTGCCGGCCCGGGCTTCCCGGCCTTGCTCCTCCTCCCTCGCTGCGCTCCTCACGCTGGGCTGTGGCTTTTCTGGAGGCGAAGTCACAGGGCATCAGCTCAGTCTTGCGCAAGCGCGCAGTCCGTTCAGCATGCTGTGCCCCTGTCACCTCTGCCTCGATCCGGGACGTTGCCATCACCCCAGAAGGAGGCCTGCACCCTGACGCGGTCCCTCCCCATCCCCTGGCAACCTCTGGGTGCTTTCCCTCCCGTGGATTTGCGGGGTGTGAATCCTTCACGGACACGGAGTCGTGCAGGAGGTGGCTCTGGGACCCGGGCTCCTTTCACTTCTCAGGGTGTTTTGGAGGGTCATGCGCACCGTGGCCTGTCAGAGCTTCATTCTGCTCCGTGGTTGATGCCACTGCAACCTAACTGGCCGCCTCCTGCTCCTGGAGGCTTCTCTTGTCGCCAGGCTTTTGCACTTCAGGCTCTTCCCTCAGCCTGAAACTCCCCTTCCCCAGCATCACCTCAGAAACTCCTCCACCTTCTCCAGTATCTTTTTCTTGCCTTTGAGGATCAACAAACCCCTCCCTCAGATGCCCGTAAAGCACCTGGCCCCCTCAGAGTCCCTGAGGGAGCTTATTTTTGTTTTTGCCACTCCAGAAGTCCTGTGGGGTCTTAGTTCCCCACCTGGGATCAGACTCGTGCCCCTGCAGTGGAAGCTTGAATTCTGAATCACTGGACTGCTGGTAAAGTCCCCTTACGTGAATTTTTTTTTCCATTTATTTTTATTAGTTGGAGGCTAATTACTTTACACCCTTATGTGAACTTTTGTGTGTTGGTGAAGTTTGTTTTCAAATCTGTCTCCCACACTACATGCCAAGACCCAGCTAGGCAGGACCCAGGCTTTCTTGCTCATCCTGTGTCCTCGTGACTTCTCTCCAGTCCCTGGCACTCCGTAGGTGCTCCAGCATCTTTTCTAGATGGAATGAACAAGTGAATGGCGTTTCAAATCCCTTATAGGAAGGAGCTGTTTTATATGTGTCAAGTTCTCTGCGAATCAGGTGCAGTGGTGTGAAGATGGGTTAGACTGCTACTGGGGGCAGTCTGGGCATCATTACTGTGGACAGTTGTATAAGGTCACTCCTGCCCTGGCCTGGCTCTTGCTCTTCACCTGTTTCAGTCCCTGAAACATCTGACTGGATGTGGGGCTTCCAAAGATGGGGAGCAGGTTCCCAGCGGTGAGGTGCTACTGTTGCCTTGTGGAGCCCTCCTGTGGTTATTTCTAGGATAGCAGGTGCCCATTTCCTTTCCTCTGGGATGCTGTCCTCAGATCAGTCACCAGAGGGCAGGATTCTCCACACTGGCCCTCTGGCTAAGGTCCCCCGATGGAATCCCGGTTCCAGAAAAGTCAATTTTGGGGGAAAAAAAAACCAAACACAGTATTGAACTGTAGTTCTTTATTTTTTTTTTAATGTAAGTACAATGGACATACTATAAGAGTGTGTAATACACTGATGTTTCAATACATTGCAAATTGATCACCACTATAGGTTAGTTGCCTTATTGTTCTTCAGACATTCAGTCGTGTCCTACTCTTTACGACCCCATGGACTGCAGCACGCCAGGCTTCCCTGTCCTTCACCATCTCCCAGAGCTTGCTCAAACTCATGTCCATTGAGTCGGTGATGCCATCCAGCCATTTCATCCTCTGTTGTCCCCTTCTCCTCCTGTTCTCAATCTTTCCTAGAATCAGGATCTTTACTAATGAGGCATATCTTTGCATCAGGTGGCCCAAGTATTGGAGCTTCAGCATCAGTCCTTCCAATGAATATTCAGGATTGATTTCCTTTCGAATTGACTGGTTTGATCTCTTGCAGTCCAAGGGACTCTCAAGAGTCTTCTCTAACACCACAGTTTAAAAGCATCAGTTCTTTGGCGCTCAGCCTTCTTTATGGTTCAGCTCTCACATCCATACATGACTACTGGAAAAACCATAGCTCTGACTATTTGGACCTTTGTTGGCAAAGTAATGTCTATGCTTTTTAATACACTGTCTAGGTATGTCATAGCTTTTCTTCCAAGGAGCGAGCATCTTTTAATATTATGGCTACAGTCACCATCTGCAGTGATTTTTGGAGCCCAAGAGAATAAAGTCTGTCACTGTTTCCATTGCTTCCCCATCTATTTGCCATGAAGTGATGGGACTGGATGCATGTTCTTAGTTTTTGAATGTTGAGTTTTAAGCCAACTTTTTCACTCTTCTCTTTTACTTTATCAAGAGTCTCTTTAGTTCCTTTACTTTCTGCAGTCAGGGTGGTGTCATCTGCATATCTGAGGTTATTGATATTTCTCCCGCCAATCTTGATTCCAGCTTTTGCTTCATCCAGCCCAGCATTTTGCATGATTACTCTGCATATAAGTTAAATAAGCAGGGTGACAATATACAGCCTTGATGTACTTCTTTATTAATTTGGAACCAGTCCGTATTTCCATGTTCAGTTTTAACTGTTGCTCCTTGACCTACATACAGGTTTCGCGGGAGGCAGGTAAGGTGGTCTGGTATTCCCATCTCTTTAAGAATTTTCCACAGTTTGTTGTGATCCAGATAGTCAAAGGCTTTAGTGTAGTCAATGAAATAGAAGTAAATGTTTTTCTGGAATTTTCTTGCTTTTCCTGTGATCCAACAAATGTTGGCAATTTGATCTCTGGTTCCTCTGCCTTTTCTAAACCCAGCTTGTACATATGGAAGTTCTTGGTTCACAAACTATTGAAGCCTGGCTTGGAGAATTTTGAGCATTACTTTGCTAGCGTGTGAAATGTGTGCAATTGTGCAGTAGTTTGAATATTTTTTGCCATTACCCTTCTTTGGGATTGGAATGAAAACTGACCTTTTCCAGTCCTGTGGCCACTGCTGAGTTTTCCAAATTTGTTGACATACTGAGTGTAGCACTTTAACGCTGAGGAAGGCTTTCTTGTCTCTCCTTGCTATTCTTCAGAACTCTGCATTCAGAAGGGTGTATCTTTCCTTTTCTCCTTTGCCTTTAGCTTCTGTTCTTTTCACAGCTATTTGTAAGGCCTCAGACAGCCATTTTGCTTTTTTGCATTTCTTCTTTTCGGGGATGATTTCGATCACCACCTCCTGTACCAGTGTTACGAACCTCTGTCCATAGTTTATCAGGCATCACTCTGTCTACCAGATCTAATCCCTTGAATCTATTTGTCACTTCCACTGTGTAATCATAAGGATTTTGATTTGGGTCATACCTGAATGGCTTAGTGGTTTTCCTTACTTTCTTCAATTTAAGTCTGAATTTGGTAATAAGGAGATCATGATCTGAGCCACAGTCAGCTCCCGGTCTTGTTTTTGCTGACTGTATAGAACTTCTCCGTCTTCGGCTGCAAAGAATATAATCAATCTGATTTTGGTATTGACCATCTGGTGATGTCCATGTGTAGAGTTGCCTTATGTCACCATACAAAATTGTTACAATATTTTGAATGTATTCCCTATGCTGTACACTATATCCTGTGATGTAATTATTTTATTGGTGTAAGTTTTTATTTTTTAGTTTCCCTCATTTATTCTCCTCACCCCTTTACTCACCTCATTTCTGGTGACCACCAGATTTTTCTCTGTATCTCTGAGCCTGTTTCTGTTTTCTTATGTTTATTTATCCTTGTTTTTTAGATTCCACATATTAGTCATTGCAGAGGGTATTTATGTTTTTCTTACTTACTTCACTTTTTCTCAGTATATATGAGTTGGTTTTATTTCCGTATGTTCAGTTGTGGTTTTTTTTGTTATTGTTTTTTTTTTTCTCCAGATTTCATACCTGGGTTCAATCGGATTTTTTGTTTCTTTTTCTTATTTTGGTTAGATTATATGTTCTATATCCATGTTGTTGCAAATGACAATATGAGCTATATTCTATAGTGTATATACATCACATCTTCTTTATCTGTATACCTATTGCTTGACACTTAGGTTTCTTGCACACTTGGACTATTTTGAATAATGCAGCAGTGATTATAAGGATGTATATATGTTTGAAATAATAGGTTCCATAAATTTGGTAGGTGGCGCTTTCCACTAGACCAGTGCCCACAAGGCCCTTGTATTGAGGCCCTTCTTTTAGGTGGGGATTCTTCACTTTTTGGCTCATCATATGGCTTGGGATTCAGGGTCTGTTGCTCCCTCGCTTGTCTGTGGGTGTGTTCCCGGAACTACTAGGGTAGGGGGAGTATTTCTAAATGGCACGTGCCAGTACAGTGTCCTTAAAATAGAAGGAGTGACCAAAAAGTCTTTTTCAGTTTCACTGACCCCAATGTGAGTCTCAGTTGCCTCCTTCCTCTCCGGGAGGTTTGCCAAGATTAGCAAGTGACCTGATCCGGCCTCCTTTTAAATTACTGTCTCTGGGCTGAAACCAGAGCCCGTGAGATTTTTTCTCCCCTTTTTTCCCCTTGCCAGATGAGGAATCTTAGTTCCCTGGCCTGGGACCAGGGATTGAACCCATGCCCCCCGTCAGTGTGCAGTGTGAGCACAGAGTCTTAACCACTGGATCACCAGGGAAGTCCCTTGCATGAGCCTTTTAAGAGGAGAGTCTATTTCTTACCACCGTCTGGCTCTTCAGTACCCATACGCCTGATGGCCTTCAAAGCCAGACATCCCTGGGGCTTGTCTTCCAAGTGCAGGGTCCCAGGTCTTGTGGAGCCTGATGTGGGGTTCAGACTCCTTGCTCATTGGGCAGAACATTTGCAGTTGTGATTTTCCTCCTGTTTGTGATCACCTACCCAGGGATTTGGATCTTGCCTATACTGTGTCTGTGCCCTTCCTGCCTATCTCATTATGTTTCCGTGTATATATCTTTAGTTGTGGAAAATCTTTTCTGCTTCTCTTCAGGTCTTTTTCTTAGGAAGTTGCTTTGTAACAAGTTGTAATTTTGGTGTACCCATTGAAGGAATTGAGCTCCGGGTCTTCCTACTCCACCATCTTGGTTGGCCACTTCTTAAACTATAATTCTTATATTGTACACTTCATCCACTCAAAGTGTACCATTTAATATTTTTTAGTGTATTCATAAGAGTTGTGCAACCATCACCATAATCTAATTTTAGAACATTTCGTGACTACAGAAAGAAAGTACCCTCCATTAACTATTACTCCCCAGCCCTGGGAAACCACTCATCTGCTTTC